CAGCCACATTGTGCATCTCACTGGCCGGAAAATGAAATTGAAAGTTATCCACATAAATATGGTTATATTAATTTATTTAGTCAGAATACATGGATGTCGTTGCATGTACAATGCTTCCTAGTGTTAAAGAAGCACTTGCAGCGAAGAGCGTGCAAGTCACAAATGTGGTTACACTACCCCTTTGAGGGAAGTTCAAAACTGCTCTGCACTCACAATGGATAGGCACCTAAAGCCACAAGCCTTGGAACGTGTGAAAAGTATGTATGAGAATTTAAAGGCTAGTGCTGGCTGGATCAGAATATTTTTAGTGTAGGAGCTTGCTCTGCCAGCGGTTTACAAAATACCACAATGACAGAAGCTTAGCTTTCGTAATCATGTCATCAAGTTGCACCATAAAAACAGTATTGTGTTGTCAGAAACAGTGAACACTGGCCAGAACTTGGTGTGCTTGGATGGTCCCAAATACAACACCTTCAAAAACAGCATTTCCAACAGACCACTGATGCCAAGTGTCAACACTGCACAGTGATGCTTAGTGAAACCTCTAATGGGCAGAGGCTCGCTCCTCAGTTTTATTGAAAAGCAAAAGAATTCCCCATGAAGTTTTTCCAAAGAAATTTATAGCAGAAGCTTTATTTGCTTGACTGGTGCCTGGCAGTAGTGCCCCATTGGCTCTGGTGCTTGGCAGTAGTGCCCCAGTAGTGCTAACAAAAGAAAGCAACAACGCCTAATTCTCCGACTACTTCTAAGACCGCCTCAATTATGCACATTGCACAGACTATGTCGAATCACATTCGAAATTTCATGTGCAGCAAGGCACCAATCGATCCATTTCAGGGGCGAGCATGCAATTTCAAGAGGTCGAAGTCGAATCGCAAACCACCATATGAGTGCTACACGTGCGACCCTCGTTTTCATCAACAATATGTATCCCTTCCCATCAAGTGATCAAGTTCCACTGATTCCGTACCAAACCGCAACTTGGATAGCCAGCGACTGCTACTGAAACGCAACCAAAGCTGACTAGGCCTAGCCTGCCGTTCGGTATGTTGCCACGAAAAATTTGACCAATAATGAAGATCCGGCGTTGAAAAGATCGCATCACTGAACCAAGAACAACATGCGTGATATGAAGTTAGCGCTCGCAGTGGGAAAATCAAGAACGATGCGATTCGCCAAGCTTACACATGACAGCACACTGGCAGCAAAGGCGAAAGGTTGCGTAGTGAACGCGGTATCTGTAGCAAGCTCGATAACAATGACCCTTTTTCCGAGAAGAAACTGTTGAGTGCAGCCGATAAGGACGGGATCACAGGTGCCATGTTAGGTCGCACGTGGTGCCAAGGCTTATCCGTCACCGAGGCAACTGCCCTCTTTCTCGGTGAGCCCGTGCAGTGTGGCGCGGTCTTCTTTTGCTTTTCTTCTTTATCTCCCTTTGCTCTTTGTTTGTTCACTCCACGTCCCCACTTACTCCGTAACGACCTCGTCACTCGCTCCCCAGCAGCGTGCCCAGCGCGCCTCCTTTCAGACGTGCTCTTGCTACCACTTTTGTCACAACAATTTTTCGGCAACCGCATTATAACTCGCTTTTCATCTTAAGAGCACTGCACAATAAGCAGTAGGCGTGTACATGGAGTTCTATGGGAAGGTAAGCGGGAGTCGAAAAACACCGCATTACAACCGGTTCTGCACTATAAGCAGTTACGTTATAAGTGATCTACCTGTAATATGTATGTTGCTTTCACTTCAAAGAAAAGAATGACCCATTTCATATATGGGATGCCCTCTGAACATAGGCCTTCACACGTTGAAGAAAAAGGTGAGGCCCTTGCAGACATCTAAAGGTAGATGTTTTTTATAAAGTTATAGAAACAGAAACACTTTATTTGAAAAATTTCATAATATTGAGAATTTCATAATGCCAACATTTGTTATATCAAGATTTAACAGTATATGCCCCTGAAAGGTGAGGGGGTACGCCCTATGCACGGCTGGCCTAGAAGCCTAGCTAGTGTTCTAGCCACACACAGTCATACTGTGCACAAAAAACATTGCCTTCTCGTAGCTCGAGTTGTCATAGCTACGATGGGTTCGGGCGAATAAGGCAACAGGCTACGTCAACAAAACAACACTTCATTGCTTCGCTAGCAATAATGTGTGAATGTCACAGAGGGACTGTCCGCTCTAAGAAGATAACAAAGTGTTATACCCTTAGGTCTTTCGAAGCGAATGTCCTTGGCTCACAGGGAAAATGGGGGGGTTGTTTTTTGTCTGGTGGCCAGTGCAAGAGAGAGCCTCTGGCTGTCAGCACGCTCGTTTTTTCCACTGTCCCGGTTTTCTTTTCCCCAACGAGGGTTGCTTCCCTCACACAAGGGAGAGTACCTCATTTTTGCGAGCCGAGGAAGGGGATAGCGCGCCGGCCTCGGGAGTGAACAGCCTGTTGAAAGAGGCTTCATTGTCTCTATTGTGAAGGGACTGTCGTTTCCCCGCAGCTAGACTGCCGCACTGCCGCAAAAAGATAAAAGAGCATGAGCGTACATGCTTCCCCACATCCTCCTCCCTTTAAGAAGGCCCTTGAACGATAGAGACTGAAATATTAAAATATTCTGTTATTCATCGTCGAAAAAGGTTAGGACAGTGAGTCCCAATCCGTGCCCGCCTGCAGTTGGCCCTCTGCCATAGATGCTGTCGGTACCAACATTTGTCTCTGCTGCATTCAATGTAGCCACCGCCTTTGCTGTGCCCGCTTCCATCGTGGCCAGCCATTGTCACTGCTGTCGCTTTTACCGTTGCTGTCGCCCTCACCGCCGTTACTGATGCCGTGGATCTAGTGCCAGTAGCACTCTGGTCTGGACCGTGTCCCATTGAGCCCTGCAGCACCAGATCGCCTACTTCGTAGTGCACGTTCCATCGTGTGCGGTTTAACTGATCCTTCCGCTGTGCCCTAGCAGTGCCGAGATCACGCTGTGCTTTATGTAACACTTTCCCTAGCTTCTGGCACATCTGCGTTGCATATTCAGCTTGTGTTCATGTCCCCACTGGTGCTCCACTGCGATCCCCGAGAACGGTCTCCATCGGATTTGGCAGTTTTCTCCCCAAGCTCAGGAAATAAGCTGCGTACCCAGTGAATTGGTCCATGGTCAATTGCACTGCAATCCTGCTCTTTGGAAAGTAGGTATCGCAGTTCTTGTCTTTCAGAGGATGCAACAAGCATGTGCTTGATGTTGCGATTGACTTGCTGCATGGGGTTCGACTGAGCATGGTAGATGGTTGTTTTCTTATGCTTAATGCCCAACATGGCACTCGTGTCAACCTTCACAGTCAAATAAGATGCACTGTCTGTAAGCAAGTGCTCAGGGAACCCGAACTTGGTGAAAACCTTCATAAGCTTCTCCAAGATCACTCAAGCTGTCACCTTCACAAGAGGAAAAGTTCTACCTATTTAGTGAAGTGATCCGTGACCACCAGCCAGAACTCGTTTCGGCGACTAGTTGTGGGGTACGATCACATTCTCTTTAATTGGAAAAAGACATATGCGTACATTCTCCTTAATTGGAAAAGTTTTCTGTTGCAAGTGAAAGATGACCTCTTTGCCCCGCTCGTTCATTTCAACCTGATGATATCCATGGCTGGATCGAGTGTCGTGAAGTACTTTGCCCCGCCAAAGTTGGACACTAACGATGAAATGAATGGAAGAGGGTACAGGTCATTCTTTGTAACCTCCTTCAGCCAGTGGTAGCCTGCACAAAGATGATACGTATCATCTTGCTTAGGAACTAGAACTACCTGGAAACCCTATGGGCTGTTTGACCTCTCAACTACGCCTGTGTCGATGAGTTCGTCCATGGCGGCGTCAAGTCCTTTTCGCTTAGCCAAGCCGATTGGTCGGGGTTTGCATTTCCAGGGTTATGCATCACCCGTGTCAATTCTGAGCTTGACCAGCGTAGTTTGGGCTAGGCGGTCAGTGCGCATCTCGTCGTACTCTTACAACAGCGATGACAGCTGCGCTCTTTCCCCTTCATGATGGCTCAGTGCTTCTACCAAAAGCTGATGCACTAAACTTCCTCGTAGTGCAGCACATTGTTCTGACAGGGTGGTTAGTCGCTTTCTCGGCGCGCTTTCCGCATCACGTTCTCGCACCTTTTCTTCCAATTAGCATGTCTTTGTCAATGCGGAAGCCTTTGAGAAAGGCTTTAGCGCAATAACCGCTGTTTGCAATGCCAATGACGATACCTGAATATGCGAGGAAGTTTCAACCCAAAGTTACCGACATTAACAACTCGGAAAGATGCACACGTAGTGTTATCATCATCCTCTTTCACCATCGTCATCATTTCTTCGTCGATGTCCTTGGCTCGCCAGAAAAATCCGGGGGTTGTCTTCTGTCTGGTGACCAGTGCAAGAGAGAGCCTCTGGCTGTCAGCACGCTCGTCTTCTCCACTGTCCCGGTTTTCCTCTCCCCAACGAGGGTTGCTTCCCTCGCCCGAGGAAGAGTAACTCCTTTTCGGGAGCCAAGGAAGGGGGATAGTGCCCCGGCCTTGGGGTGAACAGCCCTTTGAAAGAGGCTTCATTGTCTTTATCGTGAAGGGACTGACGTGTCCCTGCATCTAGATTGCCGCGCTGCCGCGAAAAAAAGCATGGGCACACGTGCTCGCCCACAAAGAATACGCTTGTGCGACCTTCATGAAGTTGAATAGAAATGTGAAGAACGTTTTTATCCGAGTAAGAAGTTATGACACATATATTCTTGTTTGGCGACTTAATTTTCAACATCCCATTCAAATTCATGAGTACACATGCGAAACCGTGACATGCTATATGAGCAGTACAATAAAAGTAGCAATATGTTTGAAAGCACTCGAGTGAGACACACACACGCAAAAAGCAAGGCACATGTATTGTTACCTACAGAGAATGGTTAGGTTTAGCTTTGTAGCTGGCCTTTCTAATAACAACACTTGTCTGTGCAACAAGGCCGGCATGCAAGAAAGGCACAGTACCTTGTGACTAATCTTGGCTGGCACTCCAGCAAACTCGGGAGAGCTGGCAAATGTGGTGAGGCTGTCCACGGCGTCTATCAGCGGTCGTGTGGCTTCCCCGCACCGCTGCCTGTTGGCATCACTAGGCTCTTGGTCCAGCATCTGGTGTCAATGCACAGTGACCGACAACAATGGCATTACTCTTCAGGAGCTAATAATGATATGTGTAGTTTAACGTCCCAAACCACCATATGATTATGAGAGACGCCGCAGTGGAGAGCTCCAGAAATTTTGACCAACCGGGGTCCTTTAACTTGCACCCAAATGCACATGGGCTTGCAGCATTTTCGCCTCCATCGAAAATACAGCCGCCGTTGCCGGGACTCAATCCCACAACCTGCGGGTCAGCAACCTTAGCCAGTAGACCACCCTGGCGGGGCTTGAAGAAGCTAATCACAGCGAGCTCTGCTAGCAGTGACGTCAAGCATGGCACTCCTGTACTTCCTATTGGTATGACAGTGTTGAGATTTTAGTAAGACATGAAATGATTGCTATAAACTTGGTTCCATAAACCATCATGACAATGCCAGCATCAATGCTGTGATGGGTATTTCTAGGTAAGCTGGCCCGCAGGTCTCTGGATCAAATTTCAGACAAGGGGGCAATGTTTTTGATGGAGGCAAAAAAAAGGCCTGTGTGCTTAAATTTAGGTGCATGTTACAGGGCCACTCACCAGACCCCATAACAAATATTAGTTAGACCGTGGAAGTTATTGTGTGTCTGATGAGGAGCATTATGACACTAAAATTTTTTCAATTGGTTCATTACGAGCTGAAAAAATTTTTACTGAAGCGGCCCGAAACGGGTATGAAAAGGGCGAGCTGAAAACCCTTGCAGCTCCCCTGCCTAGCCTTCGCAAGCCAAATCTCTTTCTACCCTCTCCGGGATGCGACCAAGAGGTCACGTGCGCATGACTTGCCTGAACAAGACCCAAGCCCCAAACACGCAAGCGGCGTTTATTTTTTAACCAGCGTTAATTTGTGGCCTACTGCCTGTTTCTGCAAGATGGTTAGGAATTGCTGCAGGATGGTTAGGAAACGCGTAGGAGTGATACTTTCACTTCCACAGCTGTCGTCTGCTCGATGCACTGATTACAAGAACATGAACGCATGTGAAACGTCGGCACATTAGCCCCACATGTATTTGCTATTCATGAAAAAAAATTGAAAAAATATGCGCACATTCCCATATTGCATCTCATTATTTATGTCAAGTATTGTCTTCAAGCAAAAAATTTCATAAACTATGCATTTAGTGTTAAATAATTTTCGCCATGTCACATACCACTGTTGCCAACGTCAGAGCACAGTTGCCTGCGTTTCTAGAAGACCAAAGTTACTGCCTGCCGTGTACGTAGGGCAATTCATACGTACACGTCATGCCCTCATTCTATAGACGCGCGCCCACGACAGAAAGGGGGAGCCGCGTTCATCTTAAAATTTGACCAATTTTCGCGGCGTGTAGCATTGCCAATTTCGGCAGAAAGGATCATGAATGCCCAATCTACGCATTGTGCTTGTCGGCTCAAAATTGCCAAACCTAGTAAGTGGCCCTTTAAAGAACCCGAGCTGGTCACGAATTTCAGAGCCCTTCACTACGGCATCTCTCAATCATATGGTGGTTTTGAGACTCAAACCCCAACAATTATTACTATTATTATATCTTATATCGAGTACAACAATGCTATATGAATAAAAAAAGTCCTTAAGAGTATTGACTATAGCTGTGCGAAAACCAAAATTTCAGGAGTGAATATGAATAGAATAGAATACTTTTGAATATTCTGGAAATATTTCAGACCAAAATTGCACAAGAAAAGTTGCAGCAGATTCCTAAACATATTTTTATCAGATAGCATCATGAAAGTGTTTCTATTGGCTTAAAAAAAGAAGTGGCAATATAAGGGTGAATTTTTCTTCGTTAGACGGTACATTTAGGAAAACTGCACGGCAATGATGCAAAGCAAAGTATAGGAGTAGAACACGGATATATCGAAGCCACAAAGTACAGAAACACATATGTTCCAGTCGAATCGTATTTTTACCCGCAAATTATTGAATGGCATTTTTACCCGAATGGTATTTTTACCCGTACTTCCCCCCCACCCCCCATAAACGTTATGGGGTATATATATGGGCATTTAAACATGGAAGTGTCAGCCAGCACCCCTGGTAGTCATGATGGCTACTGTGAAACATTTTTTTTCTTTCTGTTGGCATCACACAGCACGTGATGCCAACTAGGAGGGGTGGTTTTCCTAGTTGTCCTATCAAGAATCGTTCAATGCATAGACTGAATTGTACTTATGTACAGTATAGACCCCTTAATGTATCCACTTACAGTAGCAGCACCAGTTACGATGCAGACTTTTTCATCGACTTCCGTTCATACTATTAAACAACCACTTGTATACAGTTGCCGACTGATTTTTCAGACTTGACGGGAACTGCCAAATAGTCCAAAAAGTCGTACAGTCTGAAAAAAATCACAGCATATCCACGGAATGAATGATGATGAGTGGGGAGAAGCGTCCGTTAGCCCGTCCGTGCTTCTGTCTGTCCACCCGACCATCCATGCGTCCATCCATGCGTCCATCCATGCGTCCAACCGTCTGTCTGTCCGTGCGTTCATCTGTCGGCATGTCCACGCGTCCGTCCATCTCTCCATCCATCTTCCAGTCTGTCTGTCCCTCAAAAGCCTCCTGATCTTGGGGAAATTACCGCCAGCCACTGTACCCTCCGCCGTGTGCTTGACCTCTTTCCCTCCTCGCACCCTTCGCATCCTCCGGGTCTCCGACACTTTTTCTGCACGATGATTGGTCTCCTTCGCAGTTTCCCTTGGAGACGCGTGGATCTTGCGCTTTGATTGTGTTTTAGGGGTGAAGCTCCTTAAGTTGACACGGGTTGTGGAGACTGAAAAATCGTGAACTCGTTTTTTTTAATTGCGTTTTTGAAATCTACAGCTACTAGTGCACTTACCGTATTTACTCGCATGATCCTCGCACTTTTTTTGCCAGAAAACCGATGCAAAGTTGGGGGGAGTGAGAATTACGCCGGGAAAACTTTCCACGAAAACGCACTGAGCGAAAAAGAAAACGAAGTGGCCGCAAATCGGGATTCTCTCACCAGCAACTTACAGCAAGCTTTAAGAAGTACTAATTAGAACTTACTTCAATAATAAAAGCAAACGTTCAACACAAGGCAAGATTTATTTGAGACACAAAAAGTGGAAGCAAATAGTCGAGAATCGGAATACCATACGCGAAGCTTGTGGGCGTTGCGGACGTAGCGGTAGCGTTCGTCGCTCAACAGGAGCCCACGAAAGGTAAGCGTGGGACGTCAGTATTGGGCTGATGGCTATTTAACAGAATCGTCCGCAGTTTCCTTCCGAAAAAATAAAGTTTACCATCAATCCCAGTTTTAGGCACACGGCAGGCCCAACGTGTCTTGGTGGTTTTCAGCTGCCGTCACCAGTAGCGAACACATCACTCGTAGGCTCCGAAGGGTCTATTGGCGACCCTGTTGCCGTTGTTTAGCGCATGATCTATCACTTGCAACTTGAAGCAGCCGTGTGGCTTCAGTATCGCCCCATAACGTGCCAAGATTACCGACACAACATACAAAACACGCCACAACGCGCACTGGCCACTTCGGCTTGGCTTGGATTGAATTGAATCTCTGTGCATTAGTACGCTTTATGCTTAACCAATGGCGCCAGATGGCGCGCACTATCATCATCAATGGATGGAACGAGCAGACGACGTTATTGTGGCAGTTTTCGGGGGTGCGATAATTACTCAAGGAAAAAAAATCGTATTTTTCTTGGGCAATGTGAGGGGTTCGAGAATTATGCGAGTGCGAGGATTACGCAAGTAAAAACGATACAGATTCCTGACAGAAGGTACAAAATATGTCTAGGGGGGAAGCTCCTCTTAGTCTAACTTTGTCCTGTGTAAGGCGTAACCGGCAGTATCAGACAATAGAAGGCACTGGGTTCGGGCTAGTTGATACTGATCCATAGCTTATGTAAGCGCTAAAGGCACATACGTAAGATGAGCGAAGGACACAGGACAAGCGCTTGTCCCGTGTTATGGATCATACAAACAGACAGAGAGACGGACGAACGAAAGCATGAATGGACGCACGGATTGATGGAAGGACGGACAGACAGATGCACAAATGAACGTACGTACAGATGAACGTACGGAAGCATGGACAGACAGAGGGAGGGACGGACAGACAGACAGACAGACAGACAGACGAATGCTTCACCCTATTCACCATCAATCACTCTGTGGATATGCTGCAATCTTTTTTTTCAGTGTTGTGTATCTAGGAAAAACTTTTAAAGCGTGTTTCCACAGATCAACTAAAGACCAAGTTTTGAGTTTCAGAAAAAAGGCAGAAATACAGTCGCCAAAGAATTTTTCGGACTCCGAGAATTCAAAGTTGTTAAATATTTCGAACTTCTGAATGCGCCATCAAAGTTCCCATTGCACCAATGCATTTACGCGACTGATTTTTGGAACGAATTTATGTTACAAAATTCGATTTTCCAGACTTAATCGTTTGGTTTAATCTATGCCGCACAATTTTGAAAGCCACCATGTTGGCTTTTTGTTTGCTTGGTTGAGCTTTGCTTGCAGTGGCTAGTTGTGTGGCTTCCAAGACTAGAAGCATGCAGACCATATTTACTCGCATAATCCTCGCACTTTTTTTTGCCGGAAAACCGATGAAAAATTGGGGGGTGCAAGAATTACGCGGGGAAAACGTTCTACGAAAACGTACAGAGCGAAAAAGAAAATGAAGTGGCCGCAAATCGGAATTCTCACAAAAGCACCTTACAGCAAGCTTTAAGAAGTACTAATTAGAACTTACCTCAACAATAAAAGCAGAGGTTCAACACAAGGCAAGATTTATTTGAAACACAAAAATGGAAGCAAATAGTCGAGAATAAGAATACTATACGCGATGCTTGTAGGCGTTGCGGGCGTAGAGGTAACGGTCGGCGCTCAACAGGAGCCCTCAAAAAGTAAGCGTAGGACGTCAGTGTTGGGCTGATGGCTATTTAACAGAATCGTCCGCAGTTCCCTTCTGAAGAAA